GGAGGGCAGGAAGGCTTTCCTCATGGACAGGCAGAAGAGATCCCCATCTTCCAAACACCAGCACTGCAACAGCATCTGGTAGGGAGCAATGTGCCTGGCAGCAATGCTACCAAACAAACAGCCAGGAAAAGAGAAGGACAGATGGACAAGAGGGATCCCGGTCACAAAGCTTGCTTTGAAGCAGCAGCGACAGCTCCAGCTCGGAAACCTCCCAGCATGTGACCTTTAGCCACCGCTGACTCCCTCCTTCCTGCTGCCACCTCCTGTCACCCGCCCCCCATGCTGCCACAGCCTGCCTGCGTGCCTGGCAGACCGTGCTTTCTGCCAGCATCCTCCCTTCTCACATACTCCTGCTTTTGCCCCTCCACACCCTTGCACCTGGGCGAGCAGGGCCAGACAGGGGGGCTCTGCTGCTGCGTGCAGCCGGCGAGGAGCACGGGCAAGAGCAGCGCCACAAACTGGGCAGCAAGTGCTTTCCCAAGCTGTGCCTGGCCTGTGCCTGTCCGGCTGGGGAGACCCAGCAAGTAGAGCTGATTAATGAAACGCCAGTGGAGGAAGGCATTGCCATCCATCAGGAAAAGCTTTTTTACCAGGAGGCCAGCACAGCACAGGAGCAGGTGGTGGGATCTCTGTCGGTGATGGCTCTGCGGGCTCAGCTGTGCAAATCCAGTGATGTGACCTAGTGCCGGGACAGCCCCGCTCACTGGGCTACAGACCTCCAGCACCTCCTCCCACCAACACTCCTGCTGTCTCCTGGACAGGAAGCAGTGTGGAGCCTCCTTTTTTCTCTAACTTCCCTTGCTTAGGATACTTGCTGGAGTAAAGGATTCTTATTGATGCAGAAGATGCCTGGGGCAAAGGGCCAACCTATTCTAGTTACTCCTGCAGAAGCCCAGAAACTAGAGACAATCCTGCTACCCAGGGGACCACAGCGCTCCTCCTCTGGGCCTCAATCTCACTGCAGCACAACAGCTCCTTCTCCTCATCTTCCCCTCTCGGTTCACCTAACACCTGGCACTTCTCCAGAGCCTCTGACTGCTCCTGCCCCCACTTTATCAGCTCAGGGTCAACAGTGGCACGGCTGGGCCGCAGCTGCTGACATGCTGAGCTGCTCGTGAAATCATACCTGTAGCCAACGTGAAAAGAGACACTTACTCACAAACATGGTGGTATTTGTCTTACTTCCACAGATTTTAAGGCCAAGAAAGAAGCACTGCATTTTCTGACCCTGTGCAAAACAGAGTAAATTCCTGTAGTTCAGATCAGATATTTGTGTGGGACTTTATCTCTAGTTGCAGACAGCACAGTAAAAAGAGATTAAGCCTCTACCACTATCCTCCATGGGCAAATCAAGGTAGGTTCCCCAGCTGGCAACCCCCTATTAAAATCACCTGTCTCCTTTGCATTTGCCCAACTTAACATCCATTACCAGGCTGAGATGCTCCTCCTCTCCCAGATCTCAGAAGCGCTTGGTAGCTAACACATCCACCTTGGTGTGTCTGTACCCCATCTCACTGCTCCCTTTTCCCTCCAAGTGCCTCAGTGGTACCTTCTCCCTTGCACAACACTGCTGAAATATTTCTGTGTAAACTCTCCAAGTCTTCAAACTTCCAAGATTCTTCACTTAAACTGACCCGTAAAGTTGCTTCTATCCACAACCAGGGGGAGGTGTTGCAGTGAACACACAACTTTCGGACCCAGCAAAGTCACCAGCCCAGTCAGCTGCCTGGATTTGGGTGCAAAAGTGGGGAAGTCGGTGCAGAGGAGCAGCTGCACCACCAGCAGCTGGGTGATGGCCACACTTAACACACAAAAATGCTACTGTCTAACAGCAAAGGAGGGAATGGATTTTCTTCTAAAAATACACAAAGAACAGTCCAGGAGGGAGTTTTGGAGCCAGGTCTTCATGAGAAGGCAGTTCTAGGAAATGCTAGACCTAACTGACCTCACCTTCTCAGCAGTTCCTGACTGGCTCCATCAGGCAGGTGGGATTTGCAGACATCCTCCTCAGGGATGGACAGCCTGGGGGAGCAAGACCCACTGACAGGACTTTGGCCATTTGTGGATTCAGCCCCTACAAAAGTGTCCATATCTCTGGGCGTTAAGTGCAATGTAGTGAGTGCACGAAGATCCAAATTTCATACCCAAGTCCCTGAAATGTGCAGGGCAGGATTTCAGCCCCTTCTCCAGGATACAGCCAGACATGAGGAAATGCAACCAGAGGCAGCATGCCTGGCCCAGAACAGACATTACAGCACATGACATCACTGGAGTCAGTGACTGACCCCTGTTGCTGCTGGAGTCTCTTCTCTTTCCATTATGCACTCTTATCCCCAGCAGTCTTCATTTTCCTTCCTGCACCACCCCAAGGGTGCAGCAGTGCAGAGAGGAGCTGGCAGCGCTCTGAAGCCTGCAGGGCAGGAGCTGTCAGCTGGCTGTCTTCATTGTGCCTTGATAAGGCTTCTCCAAGAGACTCCCAGTTTGGGGAGAAGGACTGCACACGGCGCAGTGGAACAGATATCATCACGACTTCTCTCAACAAGCTTTTAATCTGTGACAGCATTTTTACCCCTCAGATCTGCTTTCAGTCCTTGCTCTGCCTCAGTTCTTGCTTTGCTTTGTCTCAGCTCTCACAAGCCACGTTATCAGCAGCTCTCAGATATTAAAACACATTAAAGGAAGGTACTGAAAGATGATCCAGCAGTCACATTTTCCAGAAATCTCAGTTTTCAGGTAACAAAAGATTCCCAGGGTAAGAAGGCAGCTGCAAGCACAAGCCCAGTGTGACCACAGCCTCATACCAGCGTGCAGAGGAAATCACCAAGCTTTGTCCCCAGCTGCTGCATCCCCAGTACTGCCTCTGAAGCTTGATGGCTGCATTTCAATGTCACACTCAACATTATCTCTCTGAGCAGCGATAACTGCAATGGCTGAAATCAAGAGTGCGAGATCAAACCACCAAAAAGAGAAGAAAATTTCTCCCATCTCTTCCCAGCTATAACAAAAGGTTTGCAGGCATGCCAAGTGATTGAAACAATGCTCAGCAAGAGAGAAGTTTTATTGACACAGATAAAGCAGCAGCTATTCCTGCATTTCAGGGCTGAAATTCCATCATAATTTGGACATTGCTGGAAACCGGACAGTTACCCTGGGATCCCAACCAGGAAAACTCTATCCCTGCTGTTGGGGTTATCAGGATAAACTGCTTCTCAAGCTGAGGCTGCACACTTACGTGGTTACCTCAGCGGGCAGCAGCAACAACATGGGACAGATCAGTATCACTCCCAAAGGGACAGGCCCAGGGCTCAGAGGCTCTTGCTGCTTATTTCACCAAAATTTAGGATGTATTTGTCCTCTCTGAACATTTCCCAGTTTTAGTCTTTATGCAGATGGGGGGTGCAAGAAATGCAGTATTGAAGCAGTAATTCCTCCCACTTGGGTGCTATTGCACCTAGCATTTATTTAATTATTCTGAAAGACACTGAAAATCTTCCCTTGGGTCCTCTGTATCCAACAATCCAGACCTCACCACACAAGCCCAAAGTGAGACACTTGCATTCAGAGGCTGCTCCCTGACCTAATTCACTGGGGAAGCGTGGGGAAAAGGTTAATTTTAAACTATGAAGATATTTGTTTAATGTCTATTCAACACAAAATTATAAAGTCAGCCCTCCTGCACCTTCCCCATTCCAAACAGGGTTACAGTAAATAAAACACACAGATAGATAAGCCCTAAAAGGCAGAAGATAACAAGGTCTGTAACAAAGTCCAGGACTCCTGAGGCACTGAATCATTACAGGAACCACTCAAGTGCAACGTTGGAGAGCTTCAGCCAGAAACTTCACAGCTGATAAAAAAGCAGCATTATCATGGACTTGGTGGGAAAGAGCAGATCTGTGGTGGGATGTTTGAGGGTAACTGCAGGACCGTGACAAGTTAATCACGCAACGTTTTAAGGAAGATTACGGGAGCAAAACTTACTATGGGATGCTGAGGGGCAGGATCAAAGGCGGCAAAAGGGAGGCATCAGGCTTAAATCAGGGATAACTGGGCATGGGAAATGGAGAGAGGGATAAACAGGAGCCAGTCACACAGACAGGCTGCTGGTCAGTGTGGCTGGGCCCTGCTCCCAGTTACCACCATCGGTCCTGGCCTTGCATTAAGCTCATCCCAGCCATTCTCCCTGCACGCATGCACGCTGCTGGCCCTTAGCTAACTGCAAGCTGGGCTAGCCTGCATGCAGGAAAGGTCTGAGAGCCAGGCAGCAGACAGACCACAGGCCTAAGGACCAGCTGCCAGTGACCCACCAAAGTGTGGGAAGGCAATCCACCAGCATCGTCCAGGTTTGACAGGCCAGGGAGCAAGAACAGGATTAGGATTTTCATTTTTCATGTTTTGTAAGTGCTGTTTTGTGTTTCCCTGGGCACCCATCACAGCAGGTTCCCTCAGTTTCTGCTGATCACTCTTGTGCCTGGTGGCATTGATGAGTGGGAAAGCTGGAGCCTCACATGGAACAGACCAGGACATTTAAATAGGAACAGCCCAGACCACTGCTTGCTATGTCTTGAGGAGAAGCAGCTGCATCTGGGTGAACATAAAGGCAAAAAGGACTTCACTGTATACAGCTCCACAAACCAAAAACAATCCCTGCTCAAATCTGGGAGGCCAAGAACCGAGACACTGCTGGGGACCAGAAAAATGGTGAAATGGGGACAGTCACAAGAGTGAAATAAGTGACAACAGGGAACTAGGGAACCACTGGGCTAGAGCCTTGCCCAGACAAAGCACTCAGCTGACAGCTCCACACAATACAGCCTTCATGCAGGCAGCAAGGATTTCAGTTCCCACTGCTTCTTCACAAACATCCCCGTTGTAAGGAATATGGACAGACACCAGAAATGCCAGAGCATCAGCTGGGAGTAAGAGGGGTTTCTGCTGCAAAGGAATAAGGGGACACAGCAGAATCCTGCATTTTGTGTTCCAAGGAAAAAGAACAAGACTTGAGAAAGAGTATAAAACTTTTAATGGGTCAGTGCATCAGTCCTTGATGCAAAGGGAAAGGAGCAAAGGGGGCTGCCATTGTCCCAGGTGCTCAGAGCTGCAGAGATGATCTGCACAGAGCAGCAAAGTGGGGGTACACACAGAGCTACAGCAGCCTTTGCTCTCCAAGGAAGGGATCAACACGTGGAAAAGCACTTCCACTCACTGTCCATTTGCTTTCACTCTATGCTTCTTCTTCCTGGTAGGGACTTTAGGCCGCATCATTTTGGGAGAAGGCCGGACAGCCTTCAAGAGTCTCCTCTGTGCTTGCAATGAACGTTTCTTCTTCAAAGCAGGTTGGGGCAGCTTCTGCTCTTTGTCAGCTTTTGATCCCTCAAGTTTCTTCTTTTTTGGCGGAGGCTCCGTGATGATGGTATCGGGGACAGCGGACGGAGCTGCCGCTTCCACAGCGGGCTCTGGATCTGAACCGAGAGAAAGGCGCTGTGAGAAGAAGCCAGGTGGCTTCTACAGGGGGAGCAGCCTGTGAGGGCAGGCCCAGGCAGCTGAGCTGAGCTCCAGCACCATGTTACCTTTCTGTGCCTGCGGGATGGCATTGGAGAACTTCTTGAACTTGGCGATGAAGAACCCGTCCATATTGTGCGTGTGGGGGTAGAAACGCCGCGTCGACTTGAGGGACGGGTGGAAGCGGCGTTCCTTGAACCTGGAGGAGGAAGTGGGGTGAGCTGCGATAGAACACCTCTGCTCAAACCTGGGCACCAAGCAGCAGTCACATGTGCAGCTTGTGACCTGGCACACACCTGGTGAAGCCCTCCTTGCCAAAGTCCAGGCCTGTGGGCACCAAACGGACGTTGCGTTTCTTCAGGGCATAATCCACAACCCACTCATTCTCCTCCACCTGCCAGAGGCTAAGCATTAGGATCCAAAACTCACCATCTCCTGAAGAGGAGGTGACCACAGCAGCTCGTGGTAGAAGGCACTTACCATGATGGAGCAAGTGCAGTAGACAATGTAGCCCCCTGTCTCGGAGGCAGCATTGACTGAATCTATGGCGCTAAGAATCAGCTCCTTCTGCAGGTGGGCACAACGCAGGATATCTGTCTCATCCTGAGAGAGAGAGAAAGGTTGGGATGCCACAGGCATCCCAGGGAAGCACCCTAGACCTCTGCTGTGGATGAAGGAATGACAGGAGAGAAAAGCATTTATAATATACAAGACTCTGGACTCTTCTGCAAAAGGAATCTCAAAAACTAGCCCTGGGACAACACACAGAATAAGAAAGAAAAGGAAAAATGTATTATAGGTATCTCTCAAGAATACAGCTGCCCCAAAGGCCTTCCTCTCATGACTCATAGTTGAGTCTGCTCTGGTCACCCACCTTGTTGGTTTTGACAGCAGGATCCTTGGAAATGACACCTGTTCCACTACAAGGAGCATCGAGCAAGACACGGTCAAACCCTCCGAGAACCTACAGGCAGACGTGTAGATTTGGAATTACACTCATGGGTGGGGACTCAAAACAAGGCCAAGACTAAAAGGGGAACCAGAAGACCAGGAAGACAGGAAGCACTCCTTCTTCCTCCCTGTCCACTTCCCACCTCTCTATCAAATAACAAACACTCCCCAGCAGCTCTGCTCATCCTCCTGTGACAGGTGACTTTGGAGAACACAGCTTCACTAAAGGGACAGCACAGCAGCTCTGGGTAAGCACTGTGACCAGGAACATACCTTGGGGAACTGCCGTCCATCGCAGTTACTCACGACGGCATTGGTGACTCCCAGGCGGTGCAAATTCCCTACCACGCTACGCAGCCGCTCGGCACTGCTGTCATTAGCCAGGATCATCCCTGTGTTCTTCATAAGCTGAGCTGCCAGAGGGCAAAACACACCAGCAAGGGGCTGAAAACCTCTTGTACCTTTGTCTCCAGTTACAGCCACCCGCTCCTTTCCTCGAGTTCAGTCCCCCTCTATTCCCCCTTTCTGTGTAGACCAGTGTAAACTCCTCCCTTGCCAGAGCATCCCTCCCAAGGCTCCAGGGCAGTACCTATGTAGCTGGTCTTGCCTCCTGGGGCACAGCACATATCCAGGATGCGCTCATTCTCCTGTGGAGCCAGCGCCATCACAGGGAGAAGACTGGAGGCTCCTTGCAGCATGTAGTGTCCAGCCAGATACTCTGGGGTGGCACCTGGGCAGGGAAGGCAGAACAGAAGAAAATGAAATGTTAAAGAAAGGGAAGCAGGAGCAGGTGAGCTCAGCCCTGTCTGGTAAAGGTGATCTCACCAATGGGCACAGTGGAGTCATAAATAACAAGTCCCGTTTTCGACCACTTCCCCAGGGGGTCAAGATTCACGCCACGGTTGATTAGAGCCTGCAAGGCAAGGAGAAGGGACTGAGATGCTGCTCCACAGGACCGGCAGTTCAGGACACAGCCCCTGGTTCCTGCTCACCTGTGCCAGGTCCCGTCGCCGCGTCTTCAGTGTGTTGGTGCGAATGGTGACAGGGCGGGGAACCTCGTTAGCCTCCAGGAAGTTTATCAACTGGATGGAGGAAGGGACAGAGAACAGAGATAAAAATGAATTCTCAGGGAGGCAGCCAAACCCCCGTCGGTCAGCAGAGCTCCGGGCAGGGCAGGCTCACACCTCAGGGAGCGGGAAGATGTCCATGAGCTTGGAGAGCAGGAAGTCGCTGTAGGAGTAGTAGGCGGCCATGTCCCGGCGCAGCAGGGCGAGGTATTCCTGCCGGGAGCGCCCCTCCTCCCGCTTCACCCCAAAGTCCTGCAGCACCTCCACGTTGCCCTGGATGCGCTGGTGAATGATGTGCAGGTCAGGTGGCTCAGCAGGTGGGAACACTGTCAAGGAATCGCCAACAGCCAAGGAACTCGCATAGGGGCTCTTTACAAGTACACTCAGCCCTGCTGGACAACAGTGCCTGCACCAGAATGGCCCTGCTGGAATACTGCTTCCATCAGAGCTCAGCAGATGCAGGATTCAAAGAATGAAACTGGACAAAAAAAGTTCACAAGGCAGAACTGGAGGGTGTTTCAAAGAATTACTTTAGATAAACAGAAAAAAAAAAATAAGCCAAACAAAAGAAGTGCTTTAATACTGAAAGCATTACCTGCAGCAGAAAAGAGACTAGAAGTTCCCCAAGGGCAACTAAGGGGGACAGAGGAGAGCAAGAAGGGAGGCAGAAAATTAAAATCACCAAAGTCCAGCAGCAAGCACTTTGGATGCTAGAATTGCTGTCATCAGAAACTCTGGGAATGGGTTACACAAACACCCACCAGGAAAATCAGGGTAGAGAGGAACAAACCACATAATAAGACATCCATATGTATTTAGGACTAAAAAGGAAATTAGGGCAGGTTCCAAGCCCCATGCAGGGCGTCACAGATTTCCTAACTGTGCTATACAGAACCACAGCATAATACACTATCTATTAGGACAGCTCAGCTAAAAATACCTTGTCATGCAGACACTTTTGCTAAGCAATATGCATGATAAAGTCCAAGTGAAGCTCTTTGGTTGTATCCTGGCCCCGTGCTGCATCATACACAAGGCTTGTGGATGTCACAGATAAAAAGGATATTCTCCTTCTCAATCTCTTCACTAGTTGGCAGTTTAAACTGTTCATCTATATCCAGGTTGAGCTGCAGATCTGGGCCCTCTTCTTCCTTCTGTCCCATTTTCTGCTTGCTTGCCTCCTCTGCTTCCTCCTCCTCCTCTTCCTCCTCCTCACTGTCATCTTCACTGAGGCCTTCCCTACGGACAAAGAACAGGATCACACAGACACTTCTCAACTATCATTTCTAAGATGGCAGAAAGAACAATAACACCACAGGCTCCTCATCTATCCAGGAAAGTCTCTACACACTCACCTGTCAGGCTTCTGCTTCAGGGCAGCTTTTTCAATAGGCAGCAGCTAAATAGAGACAAAAGGTTAATCAAAAAGCATCCACAGTCATCCCCTTATTTCCTGCCATCTGTGAAATTTACTTGCTCTGTCGAAAAGGGACGAGAAACAAAAGCACTGAATGTTAGGCTGGAATCAGCTGCTAAACTTGAAATCATTCTTGTGAAGGAAAGAAGGGGAAAGTTCTCCACCACCTCACCAGCCCCCCTGCCCTAAAGCCATCCCTTCCCCCCAGGTCTGAGGGGTCCTTTCAGCCAGCAACACCAAGTATTTCTTGTGTAATTAAGAGGAAGAAGTTCCTACCTCTTCTTCCTCTGATGAGGAGGCACCATAATCATCCACCAACTCCTCACTGCTCCCATCCTCCTCCTCCTCCATCTCCCAGCTGCTCTCTTCCACCTCACCATCACTGGATAATTCCACATGATTTCCTTTAGGTTGGGTTTTCTTGGCTTTGGCTGGAGTCAGCCACTTGGAATTGCCATCACTGAAGCCAGAGCGGCCACGGGCAGTTTGTCCTGCTGCCTTTACAGCACGTTTCTCCTTCTGTGGGGACAGCTGCTCTTCAACTAGAGGCAGAAGAAGTGGTTCAAAGTTAGGCATTATCTCCAAAATCAGCTGTTCTGCTTTTTCAGTTGTTACACAAAAAGGCCTCAGTCTGAGTCCTGAGCTGCTTGTCTAGAGGGAGGGACTGCTCTCTATGAGTACCTCTCATGAAGTACTGGGCATATTCTCAGCTCTCCTGCAATGGACCTTTCAGGAGATCTAACTAGAATTATCGAATCAAAACACTGCCACAAAGTTCTTATGGTATTTGCTCTGGCATATTATGGTACCCTCTGCCCCAAATCTTTGTCTATCCTTCCTTCTTTCTACTTCAAGAGTTTCCTGGGCCACATGAGATGTAAAAAAAGATTTAAAAGCCTCAGTTATAAAAGCAGCCTGCAACAACCTTGCTGTGAACAGAAGTAAAAAATGGAGTTAATACGCAGAAGAGAGACCTTTGAGTAGTTCTTCACACAACACTGCCTCCTGGCACAGCAGACACAAGAAATCAGATAGAATTCATTGTTATTATCTATTAGAGAGAACCCAAAAGAGGGTCAGGATGATGAAGAGTCTGGAGGGGAAGCCTTGTGAGGAGCAGCTGAGGTCTGTTCAGCCCGGAGGAGACTGGGGAAGACCTCAGTGCAGTCTCCAACTTTCTCTTGAGGGGAAGAGTAGGGGCAGGCTCTTCTCTTTGGTGACCAGGATCCGAGGGAAGTTGTGTCAGGGGAGGTTTAGGTTGGATATCAGGAAAAGGTTCTTCACCCAGAGGGTGGCTGGGCTCTGGAACAAGTTTCCAAGGAAGTGATCACAGCACCAAGGCCGGCTGAGTTCAAGAAGCGTTTGGACAACACTTTCAGGAATACGGTGGGACTTTTGGGGTAGTCCTGTACAGGGCCAGGAGCTAGACTCAATTTTCCGTGTGGGTCCCTTCCAACTCAGGATCCTCTAGGATCCTGTACCTTCAAATAACGAAATCCCACATGTCCCTTGCCTTGAAAACGACGCCAGAGAAGAGGGGTGGCGGCAGAGCCCAGGGAGAAGCAGGACGGGGGCCGGCCGGTCCGTCAGCCCGGTTCGGACCCGCTCTCACTCACCTGTCGGCTCCCGCTCTCCTCCTCCTCCTCCTCCTCGCGGCCTCCTCCCCGCCGGGCCTCCGCCCGCTCCCAGCCGCCTCTTCGCAGCCCTGCATCGGGAGGGGAAGCGGCGATCAGCGCCGGACCGGCCCGCACACCCCGGCCCGCCGAACCGCCCGCCCTCACCTCTTTCTGCCGTGACTGGAGAGCTTCTTCCTGCCGGTCTCCGGCTCTGCGGGAAGACACGCAGCGGTCAGACGGCCGCGGGCGCCGCGGTCAGACGGCCGCGGGCCGGTCCAGGCCGCACTTACCTGGCGGCAGGAAGCGGGCCAGCTCCACCTCGGCCCCGCGCTGCTTGCGGGCCTTGCGCCCGGGGCCGCGCTTCTCCTTCCTGGTGGGGTCCAGCTTCCGCCCCATGGTCGTGCCGCTCGGGCCCCGCCACACGTGCGGCGCTCCCCGCCGCCCCGGCGCACGCGCCCGCCGCGGGCCCGCCCATTGGCCGGCACCGCCGACCGCGATCGCTGATTGGCCCTGCCCGCAACGTCAGAGGCGCGGGTCGCGCGCCGCCCGGATGCGTGGGGCCGCGGGCCCCACAGCGAGAGTGCGGCACCGGCGCTCCTGCCGCACGCACTCACAGGCGCCTCCTGCAGCCGGGACAGGAGGTAAGGCAGACAGCAGAGAAAGATGTGGTGCAGAGGCAAGGGGGAAAAGGAGTTATGGAAACAGAGACTGTTAAGGGGAGGGTGAAGAGGTTCAAGGATCATCTAAGCCCAATACTTAAACGCTGCCGGGGCTAGGGTATCTACTGGCCTTCTCAGAGGATACCCCAAAAACTGCTCTGATGCAGCAGAAAGACATGACTACCTCTTCTTTCAATATTGAGACCACATACTTACCCCCAGTACACTCATGATAATAGAGACAACAAAGTAAAATACAAGGAAACTTTATTTTTCAGTTTTATCAATGTTTTGCTCTGTTTTTTGTTGGTTTTTCACTGTTGTTTGCTTCTGTCTTCAAGCTGCTTATTAGTTGACAAGTCCGGTCAGTTTTTGTATTAAAAAGGATTTTGATGGAGGTAGCTTTGTCTCTGTCCTGGCTTTTGCTTGGTCTTGCCTGCGCACTTGTCTCAGTAAACAAACTCAAAATAAAATTAAGAACGAAAACTGGAATTCCAGGTGGAGGCAACGAGCAACGCAGCCAGGTTCTCCATGTAACAGACATGGCGCTGGGGCCTCCAGTCACTATATACAGAGTCCATCATACATCCATCCCCCTCTCTCCTAAACACACTCCTTGCTCCAACGGGCTGGCTGCAGAGGAAGGAGTTTCTTCTCCTTCCAGAGACCTGAGCAGCAGCTTCCATGGAGGGAAACAGCACCCAGTCAGGAATGTCAGGCAGAGGGGTAGAGTGTGGAGGGGTGGGCTAGGGGGGGTCACTTCAGCTTGGCCGAAAGGTCAACAGCACTGGGCCAGGAACTCACTGCTGCTGGGCCACCTGTAGGGCAACAGAGGAGGACCTGAGGCTCATGGGCTGGTCACCAGAGCCCAGCCTGGCCCACGGAGGCCGCCTCTCCCCAGAACTCCCTTACTGACCAGAGAGGGTACGTACTTGTTGGGGAGGGGGCGGTGGCGGGGGCTCACTGCTGCGGTTGGCCAGGCGGCTGAGGATGTTGCGCTCCGACATCTGAAGGCGCACTGCCACAGGTGGGATGCGGGCAATCGTGGCAGGCAGGCGAGTCACATCTGCCTTCATGTCACTCAAAAGCTCCTCCAGCTGCTTCAGAACTACAAGAGAAAGGGACATCTGTTCGGACGGGAAAGGGACACCCCAGAGGGGACAGCACAGCTGAACACCTATCCCACCCTTGTTTAACACACCGCATTACCTTTGTGCAGCACAGCATTGGCTGGTTTATTCCCAGCCATTGACTCCTTGGATAGGTGCTGGTGGCTCTCAGCCAGGCATTCCACCTCTGCAAAACGTGTGTTCAGAGCCATGGATGGGTGAGATGGATCTTCGGACATGTTCAGATAGGCAGCTCGCCGCAACTGTTCCTCGATCACCAGTGCTTGCTCCAGGAGCTGCAAGGTGGGGCAGGAATGAGTCTTTCAGCAGCTGCCTGAGAGGGAGCCTTGTTTGCACCCCCAGTCTCTCCTAATCCAATTCCCCACCATCTCATAAGGTGAGATTGTGTCTCTGAATCTCTTTTCTCCAGGTTTTACTGAGTAGCCCAAAATAGTAAGGGCTTCATGAAGCAAAGTCAGACATAAAAGAAAACCAGGGTGCATTTGGTTTAATAGACTACTGCAACTCCTCTAGTATTTTCTTTCCTTCTCTGATTCTTGTTACACATTCTTTATGAGGTAAATGGGATGAAGATTACCCTTTGAACTCAAGGGAAAAATATTCCATCCTACTTACAGAAAGAGTCTAAAGTCTTGTAAGCATTTGGAGAAATCAGCTGGAATCCTGTCAGTGCAGAACTGATAATTTAGTCCTATAGTCAATCAATGTTTTGCCCCAAGACTGAGACCTACATGGCTTTTACTTGATCTTAAATCACTCCCATGGTTGTGGAGTTGTGTTCACTACTAAAGAGGATGAAGTAGGATGAAATCAATCAGCCCCTTCAGCAACCCAGAGTTCTGTTCAGGCACATGGAGTGGGTTGTAGCAGACCAAGCAAAAGCTGTGGTGAAAACAGTTGCCTGAACCTCAAAAGCCTCCTGCTTCCCAGTTATTCAATAAACATTTAGATAGAGAGCACTGAACCAAGCTTCCCAATACCATTTCCAGAAAAAAGAGAGCTCCTATCATGGAGCAACTGCATGATCCTGAGATATATTGCTTTTTTTATTACCCCTAAAATAAAAGGCACTGCACAAATCTTTCACTTTCTTGGTGGAAACTCAGAACTGCAAGAACTTGTTCTTAGAGATCCAGGCAGTTCTGCTGGAACTAAAGAGAAATCCTTACCTTAAATCTCCTCGCCAAGAACTTATTCTTTATTTCCAGGAAGTTACCCCTGTTCATCTCACCCTTGAAGGGTTCATTGAGGATGGCGTAACGTGGATCATTCTGAATATCCTGCCAACGGGCATAGCCATGACTGAGATGGGATGAGCTCAGGCAAACAAAGGCAGTGAAAACAAGGGAATACACAGCCCAGGCAGTACTGTTCTCCAGAGGGACTGGGGAAAGGGGTACAGAGAGGGGATGAACAGGAGCCAAGGAAGAAGGAATGATAACTATGTCCTGCTAAGTCATAACTGTGCTGCAGGAAGCTCCCCCTCCCACCATCACTTTCACTCTTGTGAAGAAGATAATGCACTCTCTCACTTAACCTACTCCAGTCAGATTCAGCAGGGTCACTTTCACCCTGACAAATTATGTACAAGGTGGGAGAATGTATCTGTCACGGCAAGGATACTTGATAATCCCAGCTAGGAGCCAGTAGTCGTGACGCCTATGCCAGATCTCATAGGTCTTCTTGGTGACAGTTGCAGCCCGCTCTTCATTCTGCCAGAGGGAGTGTAGTTCTGGAAAGGCAAGAGACACCAGAACAGTTGGAATTACTTCACAAACGTAAGCAGGAGCTTATAAACAAGTTCAAGCAGATAAAGATCTCATACCAGTGAAACCACCATCTGCTATGTTGAACATGAAGCGCTGCTTTACTGCCTTCTTGTGCCTTTCATCTACTGACTCCTTCAGCATCTCTCCATTCTGCAGCATCACCACATCTCTCTTATCATCGTCCTTTTTCTCATCTGTACACACAGGAAATTATTAAAACAAACATGGCAGACAACACAACAAACTGGACCCATGAGGAATCCTCGCAAAAGAAGGGTTAAGGTAGAAAAGGGAGTCATGATGCCTCACCTTTCTCATCCAGAGTGATTATAGGAGGGTCAGGGGGATTTTCAGTAGCTGCTCTGTCTTCCACTTTCTCCACATCAGCTGCAGGAAAGAAGGGGAACATGAGATGCACAAGAACATAGCAAGTCCACAGTTTTGTTCTTCAACCAGTGAAAGCCAATACCATTCTGTAACTTCACACTGATTTTCTACATTCAAGCTTATTTCTTTGGGATGAAGTGCTCTGTACCTTTGCTTTCTACTTCCATTGGTTCATCTGGTCTTTCCTTCGCTTCCGTTTCCTCTACTTTTTTTTCATCTGCCTCTGTGGAGTTCACTGGGGATTTTGCTTCCTGGGGTGGTGTTTCCACAGCTTGAGCACACTGCTGAGGACAGCAATCAGTGAGACAAAAGTATAGCAGTGAATGACAGAATACAGTCATAGTCACTTGAAAAGCAAAGACACACAAAACTGTGAGACCAATTCTGAGGACCAGAGTCAGAGATCTTCAAGTATCACTCTAAAAACTCATCTCTGCCTCAGCTGAAATTAAGAGGGGGCAGAAGTACAGAAACTTGCAGGAGAAATTACAAGGCAAAAAAGCCAAAACTCACCTCCATAGGAGCCTCTGTTTCAGTAGCAGAGGCAGCGAGCTCCTTCTCTGGTTCAGACGGCTCTCCTTGCTCCTTAGCACTAGCTCCTTCTTCTACTTTTACTCCATCTTCTGTGTATTCCCCACGCCAGAGCAGCACAGCAGACAAAAAGAGAAACAAATCAGTAAGGTCTTCCCTGTTACCAAGCCCACTTCTCCTTTGCTCTCAGGGATCAGGCCCACCAAAATGGAATTAACATGACCCCCCCTTTTCCTGCCCACTACAAATGATGGGCTTCATCACTGATGTCAGCTCATCGCAGGAAAGCCAGTGTCCTCTCTTGCCTTTAAGGGCTTGCACATGTCTTTGGCAGCCCTCCTAACATGAGAGTAAGCTGATCTGCGTCCACCTCCAGACCCCACCACCACAGTTCTGGTGAGGGGAACAGCCAGGGTAAGGTCAGGACGCGGGGTTGTACGAGAGGGGAGCCCTCACCAGGTGGAGGAACAGGGGCAGGTGTATTCGGCTGCGTATCCCCTGGTGTCGAAGGAGTTGGAGTTTTGGGAGAGGGTGAGCTGGGCTGTGAAAGTTTCTTGTTCTCCTCTATCTCTGCCAGTTCTGGCATACTCCAGCGACCGTTCACATGCTCAAACTCCTGCACCTGTACAAGAGGGAGAGAAAGACGTATCACTGGAGGAGTCATACAATCCTTACACCTGTAGAGAAAGGCCACCGAGCACAGAACAAAAGTAGGAGTGAAAGGAGAGGTAACACACTAACTCAAGGCCCCAGTGACTACATACAGTTGTATGGCCAGCAAAGGCCACATTGCTCTGCTAGGCACCTACCTTTTTGCGTATAAGTGACATGACCCCAATGCGAGTAAGGACATGCTGTCGAGAAAGACCTTCCCGTGGGACCCCATCTGCAAAGGTCTCTGCACCGTCAGCTCCAGGTTCACATAAATGGCGCATGAACAGCGAGA